CAATAGAGGGAGGCAGATTTTATATCATTATGGTAGAAAATGTTAATATTCTGTAGAAACCAGGGAGCCTTACGAAAAATATGTGTCTATGCTTTAGGAGATAGTATATCACAAGTGACAATGTTTATTGCTACTAATAGGAAAGGGTTGCTGGCTGAAACAACCCTTGGGTGAAACAGTAAAGAAACCCAGGAGACAAAAGCAATGCAGCAGAAGAAAGAGAAAGCACATTACAGTTTGCTGAAGAGACAAAATCAAAGGCACATCTGGTGACCCAGCCTTCAGATGTTCACTAAACAAGGAAACAATATAATGATCTATCCTTCCTTCCTCAATACTGCAAATCACTGTTAAAAGACTCCTCAGTTTCACATGTTTTATGTGTCTCATTGGCAGAAGCGATCTGCCGTGGACCTTCAGTGACCCTACACTTCCTGGCTGGGCATGCCAATAATACAAGGCCCTGACTACTCTTTACTCCTGCTGTTTCTCAGGGCTGTGCCTTCAGCAAGAAACACAGAGGGATGAAGTAGCATCATCTCTAGACAAAGAGCAGATTTGCTTCCTTTTAAAGATTCTTTGAGCTCGCTCTTCCTCCCCTGTAAGGCAACCCAGTGCAAGCAGGTGCATGAGCTTGGCCCACCTGCGCTGCACCTGTGGGAGGTGGGGCACATGGGGAACTAGCACAAACCAGTATGAATCTCTGCCTATTACTCTGCTGTGGGTAATGAAGTCCATTGTTCCTGACCCAGGAGTTTATGTTTTCAGCCAGAATCCATGGAACAGTAAGAGACTAGCTTGTTAACTTATAAGTACATTAAAATCTCAGACCCTGCAGAGTTCTTGACAGTTAAAACTAGGGCACTGCTTTTCAGAAATAAAAAATAAAAATTATTAACCCGAAATATTTTTAAATTATTTCTTCATATCTGTTTTAACAGCTAATACCTCAAAATGCATTTTTATTATTAAAACTTACATGCTCAAACGATTTTTAAATAGTCATGAGAATTATATTTCACCATTAATGATATTAGACCTCTGGTAAAACAACTAGCAATTAAGTACTAGACAGTTTCAGAGATTGGGTTTGAATTCTGGCCAGGCCACCTGCTGACAAGCTGTGCCTCAGGAAGTTATTTCAAAATCTGTAAAATGGGTGTAAAGATACAGAACACTCCTTATAGGGTTGATTTAGGGTTTTAATGAAATACTGTGTGTATTTCATTATGTGAAGTATAAGCACTTCACACACTGTCACTACGTGGCCTCCCAATACATGCTTATTGTATATGGATCAAAATGTTGTTCAGTTGAATGGAATATTATTAATTTCATCTTTAAATGTATATAACCTCCATATGTACGTGCTGAGGTTTGTTATTTGATTTTACTGGGCTGTTTTAAAAGTTAGAATTATCCTCCCCCAAGATTAATTTTGAAGTATAAATATGCATATGCATGGCTATCAGACATATCTTGCAGTTCCTTGGGAGCTTTGAGTTTCTGAAGAAATTAGATATCAAGAATTTGCAATTTCCAGCCTTCACATTGAATGTATATTTATATGGAAAAATTGTTTAATAGCTACAATCTACCTAGGAGATGGAGATGTAATAGAGTACCTTTCCCTTTATTAGGAACTTATTCATTGATTTCCATAGAAAACTTTTTAAAAATGGAACAATTGCCTCATTGCAGAGCTAGACCATTAGGTGGAGTGATTTCCCACTGACTGGTGGACCCTCATGCTATAGGATGGTTTCGAGGACATAGTGACTTCCCACAGTGAGCCAGTGAGCTGACCTACTGCTCAGTAGCAAAAGCGACACACGGGGAGGCATCCATTGCCATGCAGCCCATAATTGGCAACCATTCTTTCAGTGGGAAAAAGAGATGGAAGACATTATTAAAATTTTTTCTATTCTATGAGAAACTCATCTATTCGACACCAAGCTGAAAATGTATGACAAAAATGTAAGGAGATATTCACATAAAATAAACATTGATCCTTTACATCTTAAGAGAATATTAACTATTAAAACATTAGCATTCTGTGTTTAGTATTTGTTTTAACAATATTTCATGATACGTTTTAAAGTTTAAATTATTACAATAAAGTGCTTTTGTAGTAACAAGAGATTATATATATATGAAGTGGGCATGCAATGCATTTGTGGTTTAATTCATTAAGAAGGGAACATATGTTTATAAGAATTAACTACACTTCATAAAGGAAGTTAAATGTCAAGTCCCTATCTGACCTGTTAATTATATTCAATGACATTAAAGGGCAGCATTTGCAAATTGCTTCTGTGCCTAGTATTTTAGTGTTTGGTGACAAATTTATGATCTTGACCCTCATAATTAAATTACTTAATTCTGGAATATTTTATGATTCTTGATTGCATACTTGACTTTATTTTCTTTTTCTCTTGATTTTATTAGAAAATTCCACACTATCCCCTTTTGTTTTAATACCCACTGACCTTTTACAGAAAATAAAAGCCCACAATGAGAATAATAGCCAAATGCTAAATCTGTCACTAAGGCCTGTTAAATTTAAAAGTCTCCCAAGAAAGTGTGGGTATAAAACAGAATTCGAATGACATTTTATATCATTTAAATTTTCAAAAGATTTTCTTCTGGAAGCCACAAGAACTTACCAGTATCAGAAGATACTTTTGCTTCTCTTTAGCTGACAAAAACATGTCAGTTTTATAGTTTCTAATATCAGTATTAGGTTTAACTATTGTTCAAATATACACACAAAAGTGGCAATTTCACATGGTCCAACTTTACACTTTTAAAATAAGAAATTCATGGTTATTAACCAAACTGCCAGTAACATAATATTTTGGAAAGGTGTTTTCCAAAAGAATGTAGTTCTAAAACATTTTGTGATGATTCTGTTTTCTGAGTTAAAAGAAATCTTCAAAAGCTCCCTCCATAAATGAGTGTTGATTAGAACTCTGTATCTAGAGGAAATTTAATGCATATTCTGTTTGTATTCCCATTTTTGGTCAGAATTTTTTGATTTGGTGTCTGATCAGTGTACACACAGGTGTAGCCAGAGATTCTCACATGTCAACGTTAAGAAATTACATTTGCATTGGAGATTTTACAATAAGCCTTTCAAGCAATGTCTTTTTTTTGTTTGATAAATCTGAGTGATTTTCTTTTTACAGTGGGGTTTTCTTATAGGAAACATGATTATATTTACTACAGCTGATGTTTGTGCCTTCATTTCCTAGTGATATAAAGATCAGTTAAAGAAGAGATGAGGGGCTTATAATATTGTGTTCATGTTGAGTGTGGTGTAACCTAAGCTGCCCTTCTCAGTAAACACTCTGAACAACGGTTGTTATTCCAATGGCCAGCTATATGCTGATGGCTTCCAGAGCTCTAGCTCTAGCCCAGGCTGTCCGAGCTTCAAACTCCTTATATCCAATTGCCTAAAACCATCTCTCCATGGCATCAAGGTTATCTGCTATTATTCCAACTGCCGGCCAGGGGCGCACTTAATCCTATGGAAGAAAATACCATCAGACAAAATCCTTCACAAGTTTCCATACACATATCTAGGGTTCAGTGAAAAATTACAAGACATGTTAAAAACAATATGAAATCAGCAAAAACCAAGAGAAAAAATAAAGACACAGGTAATTCAGATGTTGGAGTTATCATCCAGGAATTTCATAGTGGTAATGATTAACATGCTTAAGAAAGTAGCGAGAAAACATGGAGCCTAGTCCCAAAATACTTGAAATTTTTTTTAAAGAGTCAAATGGAATTTACAAAATGCACATCTATTTATTGTCATTCCGTTGCTTGAAACCTTTCCATGGCTTCCTTGCCTATAGAATACATATAAGCTCCTTGCCATGTTAGAGGGAAGCACTCCAGACCTGACTCCTACTTATTTCTTTAGCCCAACTGCCCACCATTTCTTAGGGATTCTGTGCTTTAGTTAGACCCAACTACTAGCATTTCACCAACCACAGCGCTCCCTTTCATGTTGCAGTGCACTCATGCGTGATGTTCTTGGAATTGGAGTGCTCTCACATTACCCACTTGCCCACCTAGAAAATATATATTTACGTATGAATCACCATCTCAAATAGGGCCTTCCTTGAGAAATTCTCCTTAAAACTCTCACATAGATTTAGACATTCCTTCCAATGTTCCCACAGCACCAATTACATTCTCTATTGAAACACTTTCCATTGGTATTTCAATTTTTTATACCTCTGTGGGTTTCCTCTAATGGGCCAAGAGCAATGATATGTTAGAACTGACTTGTGCTGGCTCATGAGATCCTTTGTGATATTTTCAAGAATGTTGGCTTTGGCTGGGTGGAGCATCATCCATGTGCCAAAAGGTTTTGGGTTTAGTTCCAGGTCAGGGCACACCTAGGTTGTGGGTTCGATCTGGTTGGCTCCTATGGGAGGCAACCAGTCAATGTTTGTCTCTCACACCTGTCTCTCTCTCTCTCTCCCTGCCTTTTTCAATAAAATCAATAAACATATCCTCAAGTGACGATAAAAAAAAAAAAAAAAAATTGTGAATTGGTTGTTAAACACAGCCATTATTAAAAATTAAATTACATAAACTAAAAATTAAATTAATTATTATAAAGACGGAGATAGTTAACATTTAAAAACTCACTGTCATGTAATTATTTATTACAATCTATGCTCTAACCAAAATGGTGTTCTACTATGTATCTTTTCATTAGCATCAATCACAATTCTAAATAAATCCTAGAGTAAGTATTGCTACTTCAATGATATACTGAGTTTAATTATTAAAGATTAATATCGAATCCATGAAATATTATTCAAAGTTATGGAAATTGTTAATCTAGTGAAACCTGATGCAGTGTAACTACCCAAACAAAAACTAAATCAAAGTCACATTATATAAAATATCATTAAGAAAAAACAGATCGCAATTGGTAGGATTGATTGCTAATAGGTCTTTACCATTTTCTGCCTCAGGGGTATGATGATGGCTATGGGGGTGAATATGATGACCAGACCTATGAGACATACGATAGCAGCTATGCCACCCAAACGCAAAGGTAAGGCATTTGCTGTCTAAAGCATTCTTCCTGGGTTATTTCTAATCCTGCTATTTTGTTTCTTGTATCTGAATATCAGTTATGTTGTGTGAAAGTTTCCAGTAGTGGTTTTTCTCCATCTTCTGTCTGAATTATTAAGTTGCTTACTGAACTGTGAGAGGTAAAAGATAATAGCTTGAGATTGTTAATAATGAAGTAGTAGTATGCTATTTTAAGACCAGATGATTGTCATAACCAATCAACTCATTAACAAGCCTGTATTTGGTGAAATACTGTTATGCTTAAATATTATTTTAGTGAATTCATAATTAAGATAACAATGAAAACAAGTCACTTGTTCAAGGTAGCTATTTTTTTCCTAAAATGTAATTTTTATTTGTAATACAAAAGGAAATGTTATTGCGCCTCTGAAAAGAGGAAACTTCATAAAACACCTTAATTAATCAAGAATTCCTTTCCTTTCTTGGTGGGCCTCTAAATAATTGTTGAATATATCTCCTTAGATTGACTCAAAATTTGTGATATCAATGAATTTTTATTTTTTTTAAAGTGATTTATTTAGATGTTACTTACATACAGTAAATTTTGCCCATTGAGGGTATAGTTTGGCAAATGCAGAACACCAAAATTAATACATAGGACCTTTTAATCAGTCCAAGATGTTTTCTTACAGCCTGTTATAGACAGCTTTTCAGCCCAGGCCTTGGAAACCATGACTCGTATTTTGTCACTACAATTTTGCTGTTTCTACAATGTCATAGAAATAATGTGAACAATACAATATGTGGCCTTTTGAGTCTGGTTTCTTCACTTAGCATAATATATTTGATATTTATCCATGTTACTGTGCATATCAGTGTTCTGTTTCTCTTTATTACTGTGTAGTGTTTTGTTGTAAGAATGTACCTCAGTTTCTTACTTCACCAGTTGAAGGACATTTGGGTTGTTTTTATTTTTTGCAGTTATGGATAAACTTGAAATAAAACATATGCATTTTTAGAAAAATCAGTCCCTTAAGGTTTTTTCTGGAAAAAAATTTTTTTACTTAGTTACAAATTTTATGGAAAAGTAGGAGTCTATGCATATACCATTAGTTGATTCTCCCTATTTGTGATTAATAGAAAACAGTATAACTCATTGTCACAAAATAATTGTAGACTTGATCATTTATTGATCAACTTTACTGGCACCCAAAGAAACTTGGATGATTTGTTAAGTAACATTTGGAAGAGAGAAGATGGCAAAGAAACGACTGTAAGGTTATTATGGAGTGAAGGAAACCTACATGTATTGCATCAGTGTGTGTTTTTCACAGCCTGCGGGATAGCGCAGTGAAAGGGGTGAAGGACAATTCTATTTAAAAAGAATACTGTAGGCAATGAGGAGAAAGATGACTGTGAATTGATACCTTTAAAGCTACGCATAACATACGATATCATATGGAAATGACCATCTTCAACGTTGAGTAATTGCTGAATTTATAGTAGGTTAAGTAGAAAAGTCATCATGAACTAAGAGCTTTTACTGTGAGTAATATCTTAATTGCCCCAATTACATATTGGAACACAGCACAGTTATTTAGGATTGGGGAATCCTAGGATTGCATCACATCACAGGCAATGACTAGAGCAGTGTCTGCAACTTGGCTACATACTTAAAACAACTGCTAATATTTTCAACTAAATTGATAGTTCATCACTGTATATAAGTACATAAAGAATAGTGATAATAAAATTATTTAACTTGTTTCAGAAACTATTTGGTAGGAAACATGATTACCACACACTACAAACCCGAGTAAAATAATTTCTTAATGTTACTCTGTAGAGTTACATTCAGCTTGTAGAGATTTTGGAATGATTTTCCGAAAATGAGGAACTTTCTGTGTCTTTCTTCCTGTTAAATTTAAATGGGCTTTAAATGACTATGAAAAAGAAAGAAGAAAAAAGTGGGAATTAGGATAATTTACCTTTGAATATTAAAAAAGTAAATACTAGAATAATTGAACATAATTATGTTTTAAAAGTAATGGCAATATAGAATAATTTGGGGGAAAAAGTATTTTGTTTTAATGAAGTATGAGTTATATGGAAAATAACATTTTCTAGGTCCTTCTGCTACCTTCTTTTTTTTCTTTACTTTCTATGCAATTTTCTATGGCTAAATTCTTCCCACCCTCCTAGGTCTGCCTCAAAATCTAACTCTTCCAAAAAGTATTTTCTTACTCCTCTACTTAGAAATAACCTGTTTCTTCCCTGAATTCCAATAGCTCCATATCTTTATTTCTCTATGGCACTTTCTACCTCTGCCTTATACTGGGATCATTTGTGTACATATCCCTTATCACCCTTACTACTTGCCCCAAATCCTTGTCTGACCCACCCTCATGTCCTTCCCAGTATCTGTCATTGAGACTTTCTTGGGCTATGTATTGAACGGATGATTGTTGAATACATGAATGTCAGACCTAATGTGTCCCTACACTATGAAGATTCAAAACAAGAGCCTCATACCTCAAAGAGAATACAATAGTCAGAGTTATATGTATCATACTTACTGATAAAATAGTTATATTTTAAGGTATTTTAGTGCTAAACAAAAAAGGGAAAAGAAAGCAGGTCATGAATTTAGTTGTGATGATACTAATATTCTGTACTATAATAATTATAAAATAACATTCTATATTGCAAAAATTATACAGTATATATTTTGGTCAAAAATATTTTCAATACTAGTACAGTGTATGGCACACTAGAGGTTCTCAGTAAAGATTTGTTAAATAAATAAAACTAAAATTAATGACTGTATTAATAAATGAATGAATGAAATTAACACTATTATTTAAGAAAACTCTGTGTGGAAAAATTCTTAACTATAATACCAATTTGTAATACAAATAGATAAACACTGAGAAATTTTATCACATAATGTATTACATAATCTCTACTTTTATGTTATTTCTATTGCTTTAACTATGCCAGCAGAAGATAAGATTAGCAGTGCAGTTAAATAAATACTCATTATATAATTATGCATGCCAGAAAGTATACCCATCATTACAGTATACTTCTTTTAAAACTTTTAAATACATTTTAATTTCTGCTCCTAATAATTTGCTTGAAGAGGAGTTATTTGCAAGCTGTGTATATATTTAAATAAATATAAGTGAAACAACTACTATAGGATAGTCAAGTATTAGGAATTAGAAGTGAGAGAAAGCTCGTTTTCTACAATAATTAGTCTATAATTGTTTCCTTTCAAATGGTGGGCCTTTAATTGAACTTTAAAAGTCTGATTTGGGTTTATAGAGGAAAATGGAGAAACTTTCTAAATAGTGGAATAAAGGGGACTGTATGAGCATAAAATTTTATCATTTACAAATAATATGACTATTATTTTAGCATTGTCATGGTCAAAATCAGAAGAAATGGTGATTTAGAATCTTGAAGGTAAGACAATAGATTACGAGTGACTTAGCAGAACTAAAAGATAAAAATCTTTAGAGAAAATGGTCTTTAATTGACTAGTTAGTCAGCACAGGTGAATACAGAATTTGTGGAGATTATAAAGTAGAACCTGGCAGGTGCCTAAATGGAATAATTATATCATCACTAGAGAGTCTAAGGAAGTTCACAAGGTAAGAACCCTACAAAGGTTCACCTGGAGTTCAGAAGCTATAACAATTTTAATTAATCCCCACTTTTCTTATAAGGTGTCTTTAGTTCTGGAAAATTTCCAATGGGAAGAAAAGGAACTTTGCTCAAGATTCCTTAAGAGGCAGCTCAACTAAACGACATAGTCAGGACTGGTCGTTAACCCTCATTTTCTCTTGCTTTGCGTAAAGAAATAAATTGATGAGTTTATTATGCAAGTTTCAAATTGCAGGACTAGAATTGCAGTTTCCAGGGGAACTCAATTACTTGAAGTCTTTGCCTCAAGACAGGTTAGATCCTGTGATTTACACCTTTAATTGGACCAAATATTAAATTCTATTCATGTTCTGATACCCCATTTTTAATGTACTCTTCAAAGTCAATAAATTTGCAGAGATAAATCTTCTGAAATTATGTAAACTCACAAGGTTTTACCAGCCAATTGGTTTTTCTCAATGCCCAAATTTTAAGCAAGAATTTATACTAAACCAAATCATATGTATAGAAAATAATAACTTTCATGTACAGTACTTAGAAACAAATAGTAATATTGCAAATGAAAGGCAAAAGACCAATTCTGATCTTTGATTCTAACAGCAATTTAATTTGGATGCAAAATGTTGAAAATATATAATTTTCCAGTACAAATTTTTTAACTACAGGTTGGCATAATAAGCAAAATATCAAAATGGAAGCATTTACTTTCCTTGAAGCATGAATCAGGTGAGACACTCACACAACCTAGGAAGGGAACCCTCTTTTCTGTAGATTAATGAAGGAATGTGCCAAGAATGCAAAGATACATCTCCCTCTGATATGTTAGGCAGTAGTTCCCAAATTTTCGAGGATGAAGACCCGTTTCAATATCTATCTATACACTAGGGTCTACACAGCAAGGAAAAAATGAGACTCTTAAGTTAGGAAAATTTGGGGAGAGTTTAATAAGAGGACTATTTTCAGTGGCAGAGTATAGTGAAATCATGGGGAGCCATGTAGTCTCCTGGGGCTAGTTTCCCTGGGACAATGTGTTTACCACCGAAACTAGGAATGAAAGGGAGAAAGCAGTCAGGGAAGCCTCCTGTCAGGAGCTGATTCCAAATGTCAGCCAGGGAGTTAATACCCGGACCTCACTAACCCCTCTCCTTCCAGTCTCCTACCATCACTCCCACTGGCTGAACCCATTCAGAGGCAGAGGACAAGAGACCCAGTAGATGGAGTTGCCATTAGTCATCCCTGAGATTAGGGCAGATTGGAGAGAAGAGAAGAAGTGGGGAGGCAGATGAAAGAGATCCAGTCCAGCATCCAAAATTTTTAACACCCTCCCAGCAACTAGTAATTGTACATATT